CTTTAAGGGAGGAGATGATGACTAAATGTACATAAAGCTTGGTCTTATCTGCACTCCAGCTTGCATAATTACATAATACATTTCATATGAGCTTATCATGTGTGCACACTTAATGATAAATCCATTTCCTTAAATTATCCATATGATAGGTTACAAAAAGGAATGTTTGTTCTGATACAAACAACACTGACACAGTAAAAATTTCTGAGAAAAAATTGGGTACCCCACCTTAATTTAAGGGATTACCTTGGGATTATATGGGCTCAAGAAATCCAAAAACCTGGCATGATAATGCTGACCAACCTAACCCAGATAAGCGTAGATATCTTTGCTAAATACTGTTTGCATCTATCATTTAAGTAAATGAAGTATGCATACCTGATGATAACAAGGGCTTTAACGCTTTGTTTATCTGAACACTGATGATCAGGCCTTCAAAACATGATAGCTTCATACTGGGAATTTTTTGACAAATTGCCAGGCATACAATGTAGCCTTGAATGGGTTCTCCTGACCTTTTTTTTTTGGGGGGGGGGAGGTGGAGGGGGAGGGAAGGCTGAACACCATCTTTCAATAGGATGCAACAGGAGGAATAATGGAGGCTCTACACCCCCACAACCTCTTTAGTGACGCTGTGTATGTATGTATGCACAGACATAGGCCTTTTACTGACTGGGCCCATTTTCTGCTTGTGAATTAATTTTCTTCCTGCAATGGGCATGTGTAATTAATTTTGAGCAGACTCATTCTTTAAACCAGCTGCTCTTTTTCACTGGTTTGTGCAGATTCACTTGAAATGTTCTCATTTTTCCTGCTAGCCATGTTCACACTGAGCTTTGCCAAGGAATTAGGGTCATATGTCACTGGGGGCAATTTTTATGCAACTTGTTTCAAGCAAACTTGAACTTTGTGTTCTGGGGAATTTCAATAAATTGTAGGAAACATGTTCTTCCCAAAGTTAGTTTCCTGCAGTTTGCCTGTTAATATGTCTCTTTTTACTTCTTACAATGTCTCTCTGGTGGTCATGCTGGGTGGAGACCAGCTGGTTGATCTTGTCCTCATTCTCTGCATCAGTAACCTAATGAAATGAAACACAATAAATCATCAATGCCTGGCAATTTATCTTGTTTTATTCAGTCGGAAATATCACACAAATGATGAACCCACAAAAGGTACATGTATCAAAACTATTTGTTCTGTGTACAGGATTTCAAAATGACTTTACTGCATACAATAATACCCCTACTTGCATGTATTTATAATAATACTCCTACTTGCATTTTTTTTATGAGTCTTCAACTATAACAAACATTCACTCCATGACTTTCTCCCAGATCATTGCTTTTTATTATAAAATAATCCCCTCAATGCAATCTTGTGTCCACTTTAATTTTTTTTTTTAAATTTCCAAACTGCATGGCAAAGATTTTTTTTTTTAATCTTATGCTAAATGCCATTTCTAATCGTGTGATGTTGTGAGCCTAAGCTTCAATGTTACAGCAGTTTCAGCTTCAGGTGTCTGATGTTATTGATGTCGTACATATTTTACTGTGGATAATTTATAACATGGACCCATTGAATGATAGATTTGATTACTGCCCAGAATTTCAAATTTGAAAATTATTTCTAGTTTTGAATACACACCCTGCGTATTTTCAGTTCCTCGATACATTCATAGAATTTGTTCTGAAACTGAAGAATGTCAAGTTGGGTGTCCATCTCCTTGGAGGAAGAATCTTTTTTCTTCAGAGCAGGATCCTCAGAATTCTTGACACTGATATCTGCACAAATACATCGCTCAAATAAAGTATCTTGATTGTTATCAACTAGGCCACTATTTTCAATTTCTTTTTATTTTGTTGAAGGGGGGGGGGGGCCCGCAGGGGGCACTTGGGAGGGGGTTCAATCTGGGTGAGGAACATTTACAGACTGACTATCTTCCACATAATCACACTCTTGTCATTAATCGATGGTGTAAATAGAATGTCATGTGCATGTGCACAAGCATGAAGTTGTTCAAGCACACAGAGTTATTCAATATTTGTGTTGCAGTTTAACCATTTCAGAAAAAAAAATAATCTTATCTTTTTCAGTATGCTTTGGGGTTTTATGGGGCAGGTGTATCAACTACAAAAACATTAAATGGAGAGGGTCGTATTTAACTAAATGAAAGCAAAACAAAATGAATGACCAGTTTCACAATATTAACTATTAATATGTTTAATTCTTAGTGTGCTTCCAAAAAAAATCAGTTAGACGATTGTCCTTTCATTTTTGTAATATTTATAAAATAAATCAGTAAAAACTTATTTGATCTTTGAAACTAAAAACAACTGTTGCAAATCAATTAATTCAGGGAGGTTTTAAAAAAACAAGCAGGGTTGACATTTAAGGAAGGGGAAATCCACACACAAAAAATATTTGGTAGAGCCCCAGATCTAGAGCAGCACAGGTTCTTTTTTTTTTAATAAAGAGCATATTGCAAGCGTTTTGAATAAACATCAGAGCAAAAAAAGTCCAATACTTTTAATTGAGGGACACTAATCATTGAGTCCTTATTAATTAATTTTTTTTGTACCAGTCATTTTAGATTAGAATGTTAAACAGCTGATTTGTTGTAGCCCTCTGAAAACACTAAGCAATTGAAGTTGTGTACATTTACTCACTTTCTAGGTCATTTTTTACAATGGTGTTCATCGCCTGCAGAGTTCCTGAGGATGTTTGGTCCTCTCCTGTCTTCTTGTCATCCATGATGAATGGGCTTGTGTAAAGAAACTGGATTCTTAGTGTTTCTGTATATTAAAAGAAGGCATAAACTTTGAGCATTGGGAATGCCATCTAGGTATATGTAGGGCCCACAAAGGTGTTGTTGATAAGCCCATCCTTTAGGCTTTACCGTGTATCAATATTCTTGGGTTTTAAAGATGCACAATTTCAAGTTGTAGGCCCCTGTCCCTGAGGTAAATGTGAAAGTGGTTAAGGTAAATTATCACAGCAGTCAGGTCTGAAAGACAAAAAGTGTTCATTTCTCAATTGTTTTCTATTCATCAATGTGCATATTTCAACAAAATGTCTCTTTAGAATATCAGTGCTGCCTGAGGCTAGTCCGACAATTTGGGACACTCAATAAAACATGCAATACTAGGCCTACTGATAATATGAAATAAGACTGGCGCATGAAACAACCAGTTCAACCACCAAATTTTGAGTGGCATGACATGGTCCCAAACTCATTGAGCTAGGCACAAACACCATGGCTTCTGGTTGGTACTTGGGTGCATGGCCAATAAGGTGTTTCATCATGCGCCATCTTGCCAACAGGACAATTTTACATGCGTTGCTATGTAGCATCAATGGGAAATTTTGTGCTACAAAGTCATCATGCGGTCATTCCATAATGCGCCTGTGTCTAGCAAGACACGTTCTTTTTGCCCCCTGAACAAGATGGTGCATATTGACGTGAAACTGTAAATTTGATACGTTGTCGATAGAGTCTTGCGTGTTTTATAGCTGCCGTGATGTTGTTAAGCATGTTGTTAAGCATGTTGTTATTTCTGCCAAAGGCAAAGCCAAGGTTGGATGCAAATTGAATTTGAAAACACTTGGCTTCAATTTCAAAGCCTTCAGTTTCAGGTGCAAAATAAAATAATTATAGAATAAAGACTAACAGAGTGAGTCAAGTCGACCTGAACATTTTTTGCATGTTTTCTTTCTGCACATTACATGCATTAAGGCCCCGGCTGCCTACACTCTACAGTCATGACAGTCATGACAGTCATGACAGTACAGGGCCTAAAGAGGACAAGCATGACATTGATCAATGACATTGACAAGCATAATTAACTGAAAAATACCTCAATTCTGCACATCAATGCTTGATAAGCTGCAGGCTGTAAAACCGAGAGAGAAACTTTAACTATGGATAGGCCCTAGGTGATTTTTCACTGAAAACTACAACTTAGATTTTTAGAAAGTTAGGCGTTCTGCAAGTCCTACATACTGACTGGTACTCTGGGTCCATTATGTATGTGCAGTGGGCCGGTCGCGTTGGTTACCAGTGTTTTTGTATCGGCGTTATATCGGTACACATCATTGGTTGAAACTTTGAGGCTCAATTTTAAGTTGCACGTCATTGGTCGATAAAAATTAGAGTAAAGTTTGATAGAACAGATAATAAAAGATTGGATCATGTTAGGATTGTCTACATAAAGACCAAAAGAACATGAATTCGAAGTTTCGAATTTGTCGAAGAGAGAAAACCTGACTTGTATTATATTGAAAATTAGGTCAATTGTCTACTTGCTCGACACTGGGTGGCGCTACAACATTTTGCTAGTGGTCTTGCTTGATATGGGGGGGGGGGGGGGGGGGCTGGTCCCGAGAGCCGTGTGCGTATAGTCTATTCAATAGCCAGAAATCAGAATGGTCGTTCACTGGTAGTAATTTCATGCAACTAGTCTATCTTTACAATGACCCTGATTAAACACATTCATTGGCGTTACTGGATAGGCCATATCTGCCCGGCAAAAGTTAAAAATAGTAACTGGGAACTTAAAGCTGGTCAAATAATGTTAGCGTGTAAATGGCCAAGTCATCGGTGCTACCGGGTTTGATCCAACACAGGCTGGACCTCTTGAACCAGCGAAGAAATGCACACATCTTAGATGTGCCACCAAAACTAGGTCTGCGAATTTGTTTTCGCGACTAATAAACTGTATTTCCTTAAAATAATGAGTTAATCATGAATACTTTAACGATATATCTCTCGTTCTGTCTATGGCAGCCCTAAATATTAACGTAACTGTTGATTTGCTGTTGATTTGATGTTAATGAAAACAAACATGCTTTACGATTAGACGCCTAGGCGTAAATATAAAAACCATGTTTAAATGAGAGATATATCAGGATAACGATGACATTAATCGACAAGACAAATTAATTCAGTAGATATAATTTTTATGAGAACAAAGTCCATGGATGTTGTTCGATTTATCAGCAACAGTTGAAATCTGCACACAGTTCGAAAAAGACGTTCCTGGGCGTAATATAAAAATTTGGCATAAGAGACGCATTTTAAGCCAAACAATGACCCAATTTCACTTGACTTGGGCAGTTTTTGTACTGTTTCTGGTATTGAGTTCCCGTCGTGCGTCTTGCGCAGCACAGGACAGGCCCCAGGGAATAGAGGAACTTGGTAATGCCCAGTTTGTACCCGCTGCTGATTTACAGAATGGTTATTTCTTTCAGAAGGTCCGTGATTTACTGCGCTCAGTGGTCGATCATGCCGGAGCAGGGAACGCCCCAACATTGGCCATGACCAGACTGCGGCAAGATGGCCTTAAACTGCTGCAGGACCTTGGACTGTGGGACCCGCAGGAACCAGGCCAGATCGACTTGGAGGAGATGGCGGAGGCAGTAGGCAAGGAGCTGCGGCAGTTTGTCGGTATCCAGGCCTGGAGGAATGTGTCTGCCAATTGCCTCAACAACACACTGCAGTTCTTTGAAGATGCGAGTAATGGTCTTCCATACGCCCGTCAAAGTGAGTATAAAAAGAAAAAAGATATATATTTTTTCCTTTTTAAGATAGATCCAGAATAAGGAAAAAATTCAGCGCATTTTTTTTATTTACAACGAAGAAAGCCTTTAAATTTATTCTGTTATCAGGGCCATATGAATAGATGTGTTTCTAGTGAAATGGAACGCTGTAGAAACAATTTTTCTTGATTGTCCATTTTTTTATGACCAATCATCTGGCCAGAATTCAATTCAATGCGTCACTTAATTTTAAAGATAGCGTGTCCACCTGGATTATTGGTTCTGTGCAAAAGTGAGGCAAATGTTCTGTCTGGACTGCGACTGCAGCGTATCGTCAAGTTGTTCTCCGTATTGACACAAGACACTGTCGAAGGAGAGAAAAAAATATTTTGTCTCAATCTTCTTTTTTTGATCTTTTTTTCATGACCAATCATCTGGCTAGAATTCAATTCAATGCGTCACTTAATTTTTGAGATAGCGTGTCTATCTGGACTATTGTTTCTGAGTATAGCCACATATCCTTCTCATGACATTCTTTGACCGTGTGCCAAATGCCAAGCTTGTACCATCAAATGCACAACTCCATCACCTGTCACCCGTACTAATTGAGTCCCAATACGATATAATTTCTTCACAGTGATAAGCTCCGACGGCGAATTAATTAGCGAGGATGTACTTTATGACTGGAATATCGTGAAACTTGGTAATGTGGAGATGTGTCAGTCGGTCAAGGAGTGGAATCCAGACGCCCCGTACGAGACGCAGTACTGCGACCTCGCTTATCCCGTCGATGTACGTTCAATGTGTTCCTTTTCAAAACTTGGATTTGAAATGAGTATTGAATAATTAAATTCAAAGCAGTGTAATGCGTTGAAATATATGCACTACGAACCTAAATCGGGACTTTGAAATTGTACTTAAAACGTCAGCGTTTATATGTTGATGCCTTTCTTTTCGAGTGTGAAGCCACAACAATGCGACAGGGATGTGAATAATAAACCTATATCACAATTTTAACAGAAACGTTCTGCATGCCACAGGTAGGCCTGTATCTAAAAATCAAACAAACAGTGGGGGATCGCTTTAAGAGGTGGTGTTGAAAACCTGGTTTCGCATCCGTATTTAGTTTCATAAAGTTTCAAAATAATTTTGAAGCAAATGTTGATTTCCCGACCTTACCAAATAAAAGTTTCTGGATCAGGCCGTGGTTCAATTTTGAGTAATCTAATTCAACAGGACTATAAGTCTCGTAAAGCCGAACCTGACAAAAAACTAAGGTTTTGAAACCCATTTTACTGAAGAAAAGGGTAAGAGGCCAAAGATTGTTCAAGAAGTGTGTTTGTAATGAGGTTTGTATCTTTATTCCTCAGCCGGACAATTACGCTGTGATTGGACTATGCTTTCCAGCTAATTGCTCAGTAGATGATCTCCAACATCTCTTTCAACCTGTTCCATGTAAGGATATCTTTTTAAATTTCCCTGTGTACCTGAGTACTTCGTTTGTAGTGTTGATGTCGTGTCAGTATTTAATACTGTGAAAAAAGTGTGCGGCTTTGAGATATTCGTAACGCCGAATGTATGCGCTTGATCTCGCTTGAAGTCTATTGTCGTTTTGAAGTTGTATTTTCAATGTTAAATTTTTGTATAAAGTAAAGTTGGGATCAAATTTGCCTGGGGAGGGAGATGCTGTTCACCTTAGTTTACCCCAACGAGTTTTAAGCGAACATCATTTTCTATATTTTAGATGTATTAAAAATGAAATTTTGCGTTCATGCTTTGTAAAAGCTTTTAGAAATCTACCGTGAATCTGTCGGACCACAGCATGAGAATTGCACTTTTACTGTTGGCGTTCAGTGCGGCGCACGGTGCAATTAAAATGCAACAGTAAACACAAAGTAGCGTTTTATGACGCACTTCAAGATTTGTCTTTTCTTTTTTATTGACTCTGTTTAGTTATTGGACCGTACATAGGTGTATCCTGCGTGGGGCCCTACCCATGGGAACCATGGGCAGTTGTCACAGTGTAAGTGTTTTTTTTCCTTAAATATTCAGAGCACGAAGTAAATCCTTAGACCAATTACGAGCAAATAAATAACTGCAAATTAACTTGTATATAAAATTGGTCAATCTTCTTTCCTGTTTAGATGTATATTGTGCGTTTTCCTGTTGCTGGTAACTATGGGAACGGTTTATCACGTCATGATTCGTCAAAGAATCCAGGCCAATTTGGCCAAAGTAGCGGTTAGTGTGGAGAAGAGGGTCGATGGACAATCGGACGAGAATTCTCTTCAAAAGGTACGACATATAATGTTTTTACGAAATCATTTGAAGTGGCGTCAGTTATGGCGTATAGCGACTATACAAATTAATGAACCGATGAACATGTAGTTCGTGGTCGTCGTGCCGCAAATGCTTTGCTTATCAGGGTTGATACAAGACACTCATAACTTTGTGTGTGAAATGTAAACAGAAAATGCCGTTTAACCCAACGGAATTGTTAAGAGTTGCCGCGTGATTCTGTAGAAAATGGTGAAGAAAACAAATATCTCAAAGTGGCATGCATGAGGGGAACGTCCTCAAGGAAAACATCGCATTGCTGGAAAATGTAATCATCCATGGATTGACCCTTCACTAGCGATTTCACACGCTATTTTTCCCCCTTACCCAAACCCAATTATATGGTATTGGTTCGTGCAAAGCATTACAGCATTAAACGGTGGCAAATTCCGCTTCATCTACTTGTAATTCCAGGCTGACATTGAACTGCAGTTTGGCAGCCATGGAACGGCAAGTGTTTTTGTGAAGAAAGACCTGGAAGCTAATGGCCATACATCCCACCACAACAATGGGTTCGTGGACGTTGAGGGCGATGTTGCAGACTCAAAGGAGATCAACTCTTGCTCCAAGGAGGTTCGATCACGGGATGAGAAAGCTGCGAAGCAAAATGTGAAGGCCTTTGGTAGGAGACAGAAATAAACTCCCAAACTTAGAATCTGCCTTTTATTTATTAGTTTTTTTCCTAAATCTGAATCTCACAACCCATGATTGAAAGGTGAATTCGGCCTCCTGTGGGAAAACATTTACCGCTAGCCTTCATAACCAGCCGTATTATATTTCTGAACAGGTCTTCTAGACAATATCATGATGGGCTTTTCTTCCATCCACAACGGCTCGAAGATTTTGAACACAGAACCGACGGCTGGAAATCTTGGCGCTCTGAATGGCATCCGTGTGCTCAGCATGTGGTGGGTTATCCTCGGGCACACTTTTTCTTTCATGATCGGTTATTATGGTGAGTCCGCTAATATTACTTAACAAAGTCACGAGGCCTGGTACTTGATTTAAAAAAGAGAAAAGTTCATAACTCTAAGGGAAATTCCCTACTCTCTAAACAATAGTGTTTAGCGATCAAAACACCATCTTGCTATTACTTTGTAAACACGTTTATAAGAAGCTAAACAGTACGCCCGATTCCTAAACATCCATGTTCATTGATAAACACTATGCATCCCTGATGCTTTACAGCATTTTCTGGGCTCATCAAGATGTCTGTGCTAAGCTATGGATGAACTGGTAAAAATTACTCGGTCTTAATCAACTGCGTCAAACATCTTATTTCAGTGGCATTTTCAGCAGGAGGGGGGAACTTGGCACTGTCTTATTTCAAGGATTTGTCATCATTCCTCAGGCGCAGATCCGGGGGGGGGGGGGGTTCAACCCCCAAGCTCTGTCAAAAATACTTGTTTCCCCATAGAACATAATGAAAAAATATGCGAAACCCCACCCCTGCTCTGACACCCAATATGTTTTTTGTTAGTAATAATGTCCGCCTTTGTTAAAATATGTACAGAGCCAGGTTGGTTAGGGGGTATATGTACATTATTCCGCGATATAGTGTTAACAGCGTCCCCATTAAAAGAATGGTTCCCTCCCCCCCCCCCCCCTTTCAATTTTACAGAGGCCAAGTGTCCGGAGAAAAAAACATGTCTACATTTCAGATTTGTTTGCCGATGAAACCCCGCCCCCGCAAAAATTTCTGGATCCGCCCCTGTTCCTTGAAATCATTTTTTAACCTGCTGTCGTGTGTCGTGTGTCATGTCTTTCTGCCACGCAGATGATCTCCGTTACATGTTTACTACGCTGACCAAGTCGTTCTTATTCTCGGCCGTCGTCAACGCCGGCGTTTCCGTCGACACCTTTTTCTTCCTAAGGTGTAGTATAAGAAAAAAATTGCCTTTTTTTGTTTACAAACCTTTCAAAGGAATCAACAAAACGTTATTAGCCAAAGTAAGCATTTTACGGAAAGTTCGTTAGGGACAAAACGGCAGATTAACGGGGTGGGGGGGGGGCACACCCCAACGCTTTCTTATCAGAGGAAAGACACCTTTTTTTTCTTAAATTTCAGGAAGACAATCAAAACGTTGCGTTTCTCCCTCGCAATCTATCAGCTGCAAGTACCTTTCAATTTGAAAAAAAAAAACATTGAGCAAAAAGCGCACGATACTATACTTTAATCCTTCCCCATTTTGAATAGGGGAAGGGAATCGGGCGGGGGATTAACATTGAAAACTAGCAAACTGGCATCCAGCTTTACTGAGTCGAGGGTTATTGCCGATCCTTTCGAAGAGTACATTTATTATCGTTTCTTCATTTGATACTAGCGGTCTCCTTCTGACGTACCTGACGTTGAAGCATCTCCAGAAAGCCAACGGTAGACTGAACTGGTTTCTCTTCTATCTCCATCGCTTCATCCGTATCACTCCGGCCTACATGGTTTCTATAGCTATATGGGCCAGCCTAGCGATTCATTTCGGCCAGGGACCGGGCAAGCACTTTTTGTTCGAAGGGGCTGCCAACGCCTGCCGCAAATACTGGTGGACCAATTTGTTGTATATCAACAACCTGTATCCCTTCCCAGGCGATTTGGATCTCCAGGTATGTAGCGAAAGCTTGAATGCTGCAACCAAATATAAGCAGTAACCTATGCCGAGCTTCAGTTGAAGTGGGATGAGAGATTAAACAAAAATTAAACCCCAAACATTGCTAATATTATAGGTAAACAGTTTCTGTAAATTTTACTGAAAAAAGATTCTTAGTATACCCGGTAGAAGTACGTGATTATCTACGGCTATTTATTTTGTTTTTGTCTTATATGTGCAGTGCATGGGATGGTCGTGGTATCTTGCTAACGACATGCAATTTTTCGTCATCAGCCCCGTCATCATCTACCTGCTGTACAAGTGAGTAGTTATCTCTGTACGGTAGAAGTAAACTAGAATGGCAGCAAACTGTCCCGTGTAGCACAGCCCATATTGCGATCCGCGTAACGCACTATACCAGGATTATTATTGTAAAGAGTCACTTTACAAATTTGATAACAAAATACAATGACATAATTACACATAATTCCATTAAACGTGACAAAAGTTACAGGAAAAAAGGATTGGTTAAAAGGAAGTGCAAATACATGCCGGCAAAACTCGCTGGATATAGCAAAGAAACGACAGCATTACAAATAAAACAAAATAATTACAAATTGTAATACAATAAATAACACCATGCATTGGTATTAATGATATTGGACAATTTCTAGAGGCGAATAGGAAACAGTCAAAATTATTGAAGGATTTTGACCAGTGTTGTTCATTTCCTTAACCTCTATGTGTTGCATGCTCACTTTGAAACAAGACATGTTATGTAAGACTAATTCGTATCTGAATGCACATGCACCAAAGTAGAATTATGGCGTTTACATTCTCTTTAACTTATAGATTTCTGCAGGCCTCTATACTTTTAATTGTAATCTGACTGATCTTATACTTGAGTGAATATTATCTGTACAGTTAATCTATACCTGTGTTTTTTTTCTTTTGTTAAGAAACGCCAAGTGGGGAATGGGCTTGATAATGACACTATGCCTTGCGTCATTTGGCGTCACTGCGTACATCGCTGCTTATTACGGGGCAGGAGTTGGTCTCTTCCCGTAAGTTGCTCTATGTAATTAAACAATCATCTCCCCAAAAAAGGCAATGTTTATTAATGGCCCTACCCTTTAACGCCTTGTAGCTAAATTGTGCATTTACTCAGGTTTTTGTCCTCTTAATTTGGCTGTATTTAATCATGATAATTTCTTCATAATGAAATGACAGGAAACATATTCAGTGGTAAATGCAAACATCTTCCCCAGTGCTTACTTTATTTCCAACAACGTTTCAAATAGTAAGCCCTGGATAAAAAAACTTTCTTCCTGTATTCTGATTCGATACCGCAATTGGCCATAAACGGATTTGTATCGTGTACTTGGTGTTGTTATTCACAACGTGCAGTACGTGTTTTCGCGATCATTCGTCCATGCCTTCTCGAACATTTTAATAGGCCTAAGACGTAATTACGTCACGCTTTGTTTACATGTGCGCTTTCCTATGTGGTAGACGGTCCCCACTTTATCTGGCGTCCCGACTTCACTCCCATAGAAAAGCGCATATGTAAACAAAACCATTACGTCATTACGTCTCAGGTCTATTTTCTTTCCAATTTGTTCATATTAATATGAAATGTGATACTGCATGTTGTCTCGATAAGATCGGAGCAGTTTGATTAAAATAAAATCGTGTTTTATGACTCAAGCCATGCTCGCGCTACGATGAATTGATTCTGTTTTTACCCCAGACACCGCATACAAAAACAAACGCAAATGTAAAGCACAGGCAGGCACCAGACTATTCCTCATTTGCATACGTGTTCAAAAATCTTGCACATTCAAATCATCCAATATCAGGTTGAGAAGAGCAGCTGGTGGTGGGCGCGTACTGCTCGACACCCTGGGGATGAGGTTGTGGTAAATGCAGGGTACTTCAAAAAATGAGATCACAATACCTGATTGTTTTTCCAACTTTAGTGCTTACAACAACAACACTGTTGTTGTGTACGGTAGCGCTTCAGTGGACATCATATACGGCAAGCCATATTGCCGGATACCAGCCTATTTGGTCGGCATCGTGTTTGGATACATCTTCTACAAGGTGCAAGGGAAACCGTTTAAAATGAGCAAGGTACGGTTCTTATTACAAAACCTTCCAGCCAAACCTAAGTGACTCGACCCACCCAACTCAACTTATTAACCTACCCCATTAAATCAACCTAACTCAACTCAACTCAACTCAACCCAACCCAACCCAACCCAACCCAACCCAACCCAACCCAACCCAACCCAACCCAACCCAACCCAACCCAACCCAACCCAACCACAACCCAACCAAACCCAACCCAGCTCAACCCAACCCAACCCAACCCAACCCAACCCAACCCAACCCAACCCAACCCAACCCAACCCAACCCAACCCAACCCAACCCAACCCAACCCAATCCAATCCAACCCAACCCAACCCAACCCAACCCAACCCAACCCAACTCAACTCCCAACCCAACCCAACCCAACCCAACCCAACCCAACCCAACCCAACCCAACCACAACCCAACCCAACCCAACCCAACCCAACCCAACCCAACCCAACCCAACCCAACCCAACCCAACCCAACCCAACCCAACCCAACCCAACCCAACCCAACCCAACCCAACCCAACCCAACCCAACCCAATCCAATCCAACCCAACCCAACCCAACCCAACCCAACCCAACCCAACCCAACCCAACCCAACCCAACCCAACCCAACTCAACTCAACCCAACCCAACCCAACCCAACCCAACCCAATCTAACTCAACTCAACCCAACCCAACCCAACCCAACCCAACCCAACCCAACCCAACCCAACCCAACCCAACCCAACCCAACCCAACCCAACCCAACCCAACCCAACCCATCCCATCCCATCCCAACCCAACCCAACCACGAAGAAAAGTACAGTTCTACAGATTACCATAGCGAGATTTAACGAAAAAGTGACTTTTTACGATTTCTGTTTATTTTTTTTTACCAAGCCCTTTTTAATCGCTATTTGCAGTAGAAAGTAAATAGCGCCACCTATTGTCTGATATTTAACATGGTGTTTATTCCCCCCACCCCCCCCCCTTCCCCCACCACCACTTGATGTTTTTTTACGGAAACCGCGGGCGTCCAGGGAAAAAACACAGTACACCTTTCATCACCAGAAATAAAATTACGCGACCTCACTGTAAAATACAGCTCCTACTAACACGCCCATGCCGCCCGGGTTATACCTTGGCAACGCCCTTGTACCCTATACCCCACCCAACTCAACCCGTCCCGACTCGACTCTAATTTAACCTACTCAACCCAACTAAGTCAAACCAAATCCAACCTAACCTGTGCTAATCACATACTGCTTGTTTCCCTGCAGGGTCTCAACCTTGTCATGTGGTTTTTGTCTACGGCTGTTGCCATGTCAGTCGTGTACGGAATTTACAGAAATGAATTGGTAGGGACATTTCCGCTGTATGCTGCAGTGCTGTATAATGTGTTTGCGCGACCCGCATTTGTAATGGCCGTCGGATGGGTGGCGTTCTCCTGTCTAGTGGGTTATGGAGGTAAGCCAAATAGATTGACTCTTTAAAAGTCCAGGCTCGGATTCGATCCGGATCCGAGTTTCTGTTTCTGTCCGTTTTGTAACTTTTGAAAAGAACTCACAGTACTCCTTTGGAACGATAGTTTTGCTGACGGACATTTATTTGTGCCCCTGCTAGGTCCCGTCAATGCTATCCTCAGCTGGGGCTTCTGGACACCGTTGAGTCGCATCACCTTCGGTGCTTATCTTCTACATCCCATCATTATGTACACCATCTACACGAGTGCCAAGGCTCTGTATCACTTCACCTACATGCAATGGGTAAGCGTCTCCCGATTCCCGAATGAGCGTCTTATACCTGCTCATTATTCAATGAAATTTTGAAATGAACGTGCAATCAGGAGCTGAAAAGTCTTTTCTCCCTGATTTTTAGTTGCGCTTTAATAATAATAATAATAATAATAATAATAATAATCGGCATTTAAGAACGCCCTTTTTAGTAAACTAAATCACAGCGCTTACAGTATTATTATTACCCCTGATCATTGGGCCAATTAAACATTCCAAATACCATCTCAGCTCCCTGGGGAGTATACAGCTCGATGCTGCCTGTTAGGCGCAAGCAAGCTAAACCAATCACTTAACCATCTCTGCCCTCACAGGTACCCATTTACTCCTGGGTGGAGAGAAGCAATGAGTGACAAAGTGACTTGCCCAAGGGCACACGCACCATGACCCCGCCAGGACTCAACCCACAACCTTTGTTTAATTACATACTTATGACGTCATGTTACAACCCGCACATAAACATTTCTGGGTTTTTTTTTTCAAACAACCGCAACTGAAGAGTGCATTGCATCAGATTTTCATTGGAACTTAATTTTTTTCTCTAACCGAGGCCTTTGTTTTTGTTTTTTGAAAGGTAATCATGTTCCTCGCCAATGTGGTGCTTGCCTACGCGGCGGCCTTCGTACTGTCCATCGGCGTGGAAGGCCCGGTCATGGGGCTAGAGAAAGCTCTACTCGGCGGAGGGGCGAGAGGCAAGAAGAATTAACACACGGAGCGCGGACAGCACATCATTTAGAAATAGTAAATTGCACGTTGATTAAAATCATTCTGAATGGAGTAGATAGGGCACACGTATAGTACTTACGGAAAACCTTTAATGTTTTCTCGAATCAGATCAGTAAGAAAGCAAGAAAATTGATAAAAAAAAACCAAATTACTCTTACGGTTAATGAAGTGCATATTTTAAGCAACGTATTTTGTGCTACTTTCCAATCTTCTTAAGTGTAGGTCAACTAATGGTATCCTTTTTTGTTAATTTTACTCGGAAATGCACTTCTGTAAACATTTAAAAATTGTCCATACTTTTCCAGACAACTGAGGGCGCTGTTGCCGTGATTGCAACATTGAGGTTTCTGCCTGGTATGACATCACACTTTTTCTCCTAAATATGGAATTTTGCATTTTAGCATAAAAACTAGAGGCACCAAAGACCCTTGAAAACAAAGGTGCATCATCAAGAATTACTTAAAAACATTACACTTAATGGGGGGGGGGGGGGGGGGGGCAAATGTCTCTGCCCACCCTCGAAAACATGATGAATCGGGAAAATGCTGGCAATTGTAGGGAATTTGGGGATAAACGTGAATTGCCCCCTCTAGAAAAAAAAACCTGGCGACGCCCATGGTGACACATCCCTATACAAGTACATGTACATCCCTAGCATCAAGCCAATCGTATTTGTACAGTTCTTTCAATGCAGGGCCTTACAATGCCCACGTCACATGACTCATGATGACGTCATGACGACGTCACTGTTATAGACACGACTTTTCTACGGCATCTTTGTCCAGTAAAAGATAGGTGTATGTGTTTTTATACGCAATAAACTGTTGTGCAACCGAATTCTGATTGAAGTGGCCACTAATGCTAGGTTAACACATTTCCGATTTTTAAGCCGTAGCGCTGCGAATAGCAATTCTTGAGTAAATTGGGGCTGCCTCGGTCAGCTGCCTCGGGATGATTCTGTTTGTTTGGTGAAAGATCGTTTAAGACCGGGAAGCGCTCCGACAATTTTGGACATTTTTAAAATGCCGGATGATTGGGGAACAATTTTTAATTTGGGGAACAATTTTTAATTTTTGGTTGATTCTTGTATTCGGAACTTATTCTGGATATTCGTATAGTATTTTTGATATTCGTTCATTATTCGTACAAATTTCGTATACAGATGTAGTTAGTTTTAGTGTTAACAGTTCATTATCATGCCGGATCATTACGAATGTATCAATAAATGTACGAATGATATGAATAAAGTTAAGAATAAGCTTAAAGTGTGTGAGGACACAACGGAATTTTTGCTGCCATCAATTTCTTCCAAACAAGGGTCACCATAAGCCCCCCCCCCCCCCAAAAAAAAATAGTCGGTCTCTCTGGTCAGACCCAAGTTCGGAATTGATGCGGCGACATGTTTTTTTTTTTTTTTTTTTTTTTTTTTTTTAAGCATGGATTGTACAGACAAGGTGGGTACCATTTTTTGCTTTTTTTGTCCTCATATACATTGGTGTCCTCCATAATTTGCCTTGGTACCCTCCATCATTTACCTTGGTGCGGTTTCCCCACTCCTTGGTACAAAAATTTAAAAAGTTTTGGCACTAGAGGGCGCTGTTGTAGCTACCGCGGACAATTTGAAGAAGAAAAAAAGGGTTGACGCGCATGATTAAAATCGACGCGTGCACTGACCAGAGACCGACTATTTATTTTTTTGGCCTAAAGTTTAATCTATCAACGCGGATCATGCACAATTAGGGTAATGACCATCAAGCTTGAAATAGATGAAAAAACTATTTAAAAAAAAATACCCTTTCATAATCAGACGTTTTTTCACAGGTTTTCTTTATGTCGTCACCGCGTTATTGACAAACGAAAGACAGTTGGAAATTGCGCAAAGACAAATCTTACTGTGTGTGCAACACGTTCTTTCTTTAGCAAGGAAGTCGCAGTCAACACGACGAGGATGGCACGGCAATAGCTGTGAACTGAAGGCATTCGCGTTGATGTTGATGTTGCTGTTGTCATGTGGGTGACTGATTCAAAATCATGGAGCGTATTTCTATCAAATACGGATCCTGACACAAAGATCCAACTCGAGCATCTTAATCAAAATTCCAACCATTCACTGATCAAGGCTATTTCTGACCTTATACTTTTTGAAGCCTTAAAAGGGTTTATTTTCTCAACTGTCATGACAATAAATACTAAAGTATGTTACCACCATGAAGTTTAATCTGTCAATGCGGATCCTGACATGCCAAATATTGAGATCATAACAATTGAGCTCGAAATAGAAGAAAAACCTTCCCAATCATAATCAAAACGGAACTTACGGTCTCTGTATACAACGGGTTTTCCCTTCATCAAAGGAAGTCGTAGTCAACACGACGATGCTGGCACTGCAATAGATGTGAAGTGAGGGCACCCGGCGCTGTCGTTGCTGTTGTCAAGCGGTTGACTGATTTGAAGAAAAAAAACGGAGCGTATTTCTATGGATCGTAAACACAAAGAACTCACTAGAGCATCACAATCCAAATTCCAACCATTCACTGACCATGGCTATAACTCACTGGACTTTTGAAGTCTGGAAAGATTTATTTTCTCGACTGTAGCACCCTTAAAGCGTTGAGAAATTTGTTTTTACTTGGTTACAGTGGCACAAATAATATGCACGCGTAATTAATTCGCTGTTTTTCCATTATTTTTTTGGCGGGCGGGGGAGGGAGCTGCTTTAACTTTATAAAAACCTCCCAACGGGTAATATTTTGTTTGAAATACGGTACCTCTGTTAGGATTTCATTGCGAGGAGTCACTCTTCCCAAGCCCAATCTTCCCTGATATTATTTTAGTTTTCTCAAATAAAACTGTGAATGTAACAATACTCAAGCAAAACGAAAGTCCCCCTTCCTATACTGACTTTGTTTAACTCAAAATCTACTGTGCACATCTCGCTGAAATAAGGGCTAATCAGTACAGAAATTCGTTAGCGATCCAGCCACACTCTTTATTTTGCCCAAACCAGTGGTAATCTGTACGAAGGTATGCAATTTATGACAAATGATACCGAAAACCGTTTCACTTTTGTATACGTGCAAGTTGTTTTGCACACTAAAGGGTTACGCAAATGCTCATTATTGTGCTTAGAAATGGAAAGTACAAGTTTTGCGAAAGGAAAATGTTAGTCAGTTGATGAAGACAATTCTGATTTGATTGTTCAAAGTTAAGACTTCCAAAAAGTCGTAAGAAGACAAAGTAGTGTATATTCCCCAAATCATGTTCAAGCAATGGTGCATGCTAGTGTGAAAAAGACTGATGTTGCGCAGTTTTCTGCCTAAGAAAGGTAAGAATTGTCAGGGACCAGTTGATGGAAGTGGGAGTTTTATGTGTCAATAGGTAATGAATATTGAAAATGTCACCGAGCATGAGCAGTAATATAATCAAACCTAGTGTTCTTTGAAAAATAATGGCAAATAGTGATTTGGGGACTGGAAAAGAAAGGGCCTATATATATGAACTTGACATAGGGTGGGTGGGTGGATCGAACGAGGAGGGGGTATGACGTAATAAAGAGAAGTGACACGACCGTAGGGCTTCTAGGGCTTCTAGGGCTTCTAGGGCTTCTAGGGCTTCTAGGGCTTCTAGGGCTTCTAGGGCTTCTAGGGCTTCTAGGGCTTCTAGGGCTTCTAGGGCTTCTAGGGCTTCTAGGGCTTCTAGGGCTTCTAGGGCTTCTAGGGCTTCTAGGGCTTCTAGGGCTTCTAGGGCTTCTAGGGCTTCTAGGGCTTCTAGGGCTTCTAGGGCTTCTAGGGCTTCTAGGGCTTCTAGGGCTTCTAGGGCTTCTAGGGCTTCTAGGGCTTCTAGGGCTTCTAGGGCTTCTAGGGCTTCTAGGGCTTCTAGGGCTTCTAGGGCTTCTAGGGCTTCTAGGGCTTCTAGGGCTTCTAGGGCTTCTAGGGCTTCTAGGGCTTCTAGGGCTTCTAGGGCTTCTAGGGCTTCTAGGGCTTCTAGGGCTTCTAGGGCTTCTAGGGCTTCTAGGGCTTCTAGGGCTTCTAGGGCTTCTAGGGCTTCTAGGGCTTCTAGGGCTTCTAGGGCTTCTAGGGCTTCTAGGGCTTCTAGGGCTTCTAGGGCTTCTAGGGCTTCTAGGGCTTCTAGGGCTTCTAGGGCTTCTAGGGCTTCTAGGGCTTCTAGGGCTTCTAGGGCTTCTAGGGCTTCTAGGGCTTCTAGGGCTTCTAGGGCTTCTAGGGCTTCTAGGGCTTCTAGGGCTTCTAGGGCTTCTAGGGCTTCTAGGGCTTCTAGGGCTTCTAGGGCTTCTAGGGCTTCTAGGGCTTCTAGGGCTTCTAGGGCTTCTAGGGCTTCTAGGGCTTCTAGGGCTTCTAGGGCTTCTAGGGCTTCTAGGGCTTCTAGGGCTTCTAGGGCTTCTAGGGCTTCTAGGGCTTCTAGGGCTTCTAGGGCTTCTAGGGCTTCTAGGGCTTCTAGGGCTTCTAGGGCTTCTAGGGCTTCTAGGGCTTCTAGGGCTTCTAGGGCTTCTAGGGCTTCTAGGGCTTCTAGGGCTTCTAGGGCTTCTAGGGCTTCTAGGGCTTCTAGGGCTTCTAGGGCTTCTAGGGCTTCTAGGGCTTCTAGGGCTTCTAGGGCTTCTAGGGCTTCTAGGGCTTCTAGGGCTTCTAGGGCTTCTAGGGCTTCTAGGGCTTCTAGGGCTTCTAGGGCTTCTAGGGCTTCTAGGGCTTCTAGGGCTTCTAGGGCTTCTAGGGCTTCTAGGGCTTCTAGGGCTTCTAGGGCTTCTAGGGCTTCTAGGGCTTCTAGGGCTTCTAGGGCTTCTAGGGCTTCTAGGGCTTCTAGGGCTTCTAGGGCTTCTAGGGCTTCTAGGGCTTCTAGGGCTTCTAGGGCTTCTAGGGCTTCTAGGGCTTCTAGGGCTTCTAGGGCTTCTAGGGCTTCTAGGGCTTCTAGGGCTTCTAGGGCTTCTAGGGCTTCTAGGGCTTCTAGGGCTTCTAGGGCTTCTAGGGCTTCTAGGGCTTCTAGGGCTTCTAGGGCTTCTAGGGCTTCTAGGGCTTCTAGGGCTTCTAGGGCTTCTAGGGCTTCTAGGGCTTCTAGGGCTTCTAGGGCTTCTAGGGCTTCTAGGGCTTCTAGGGCTTCTAGGGCTTCTAGGGCTTCTAGGGCTTCTAGGGCTTCTAGGGCTTCTAGGGCTTCTAGGGCTTCTAGGGCTTCTAGGGCTTCTAGGGCTTCTAGGGCTTCTAGGGCTTCTAGGGCTTCTAGGGCTTCTAGGGCTTCTAGGGCTTCTAGGGCTTCTAGGGCTTCTAGGGCTTCTAGGGCTTCT